CGTCACTATGCTCTACGTTCATGTGATTAATTACGTCACTATGCTCTACGTCATGTGATTAATTACGTCACTATGCTCTACGTCATGTGATTAATTATTCATGAAGACAGTTGATTTGGACAAACAAAACAAAAACAAAAATATCGATAGGCATATTGATATCTGTTATGGTGTTAACGGGGGTTTCTGAAGGGAATTTTTCTCGCAATAAACTACTTTGGAATTCACGTAACTTAATGCGGGTTGAAAATGTTTTTATCGTCAGCGAACGTTATCCGCTTTGTATTTATTGCACGTGTCGTACCGCGTTTCATTATTACGCCAGTTATATTTGTTGTAAGATCGCGTAATCGTGAAAAATGATATTGCGATATTATGCCAACACAGCAACTTAAACTAATTGCCTCAGACGAGCGCGCGATGACACTATTTGAAAATGTTCCAACGTTATATCATCGTCCAATACTTTCAGCACAGCAAAGGCACCCCTTCATCTATATAAATATTTATGAATATCACATTGGCCGATTGAATAACATTGGAACGTTTTCAAATGACATTTCGCACTGTGCTGGTTGATTAGCTGATTTGATACAACTGACATTAAAATTTTTTAAATATGTATAAAAGATAAAAGGAAGTGCCTTTGCTGCGCCAAGAGTAGAATTTGTTCACGTTAGTTTAAAATTTTGAAATTTGTGAATATTTTCAAAAATCAAATATTTGTTAAGTCGACAGTACTAGAGGGCTGTACTAGCCTGGATGCCAGATCCCCGAACTGTTAGACAGAAGATAACTAAGGAACGGCTGTCTGGTATCTAGGCGATTGCTGTGTATGGTTTCATCGTATCTTCGTTTTTGTGGGATAGGTGTCACTTTCCCTACTTTTCAGGCATATTTTGCGTCTGCTATATGATTAGCCATGAGTAGTTAGTTTCCAGGAAATTAGACGAATTAGAAAGGGGATCTTGATTAACACGTGGCGGTGTTGTATCCCAAACGAGAAAACGTTCAGGGCGTTATAAATGTCACATTAAATACCACGACTGCAAGGATTCGTGTCGTTTTTCAGCTTTTATTATCAAATAAAGTATGCGATTAAAAATACGAACAGGTCGGAATGAAATTAATGTTATATGGTAGTTTATGATCGCAAGATCATTTCCCTGACACTGAACATACTACTTATGCTCTTAAAGCATTGCGATGATATTTGACTAACATTCCCCTAAATTATAAACAGATTTATACCTTAAATTCCTAAACTTGCACTGTTCTATTTTTGAAGTTGCTGATGGAGTTGTAGAAAACATCGTCAGTGTTTCTAGCAACAGACTAGTGTGGGACGGATGGGCAAACTACGCATTTACGTGGCACCCAGATGTGGGCATCACGGTATATATAAACGCCGTGAAGGTAACCGGTAATATGTACTCATACGTCACAAACGGGACGGACTCCGACTTAAAGTTTACTATCGGCAGTCAGTATGGTAACAGTGTACCCGGCGCCATCTTTGGAGATCTCGTTATATGGAGCAGGGCATTGTATCAGTTCGAGTGTTTTAAACTACTGGGTATTACAGGTAAACATCTAAACTGATATTTCACAAAATACCCACAATTTATATACTGTTATACATTTGTATTTTAAGGTCGCAAGTAGTTGCAATTTGGCCATCTTGCTTATAATATGGCAGTGAAGTAAAAGTAACATTTACACTCATCTACTATTTACGATATTTTGCATATTTTCCTTTTGAGTTTAAATTCTAGTAGAAATGAAGAGGGTGTCATTAGACATATTTTTCTGCCATTGCACTCTACTTAAAAACAACCGCATTTAAAAAAAAGTTATGAATTGGAATTCAGTGTAATAAAATGGAAGGTTCAGTAGTTATATATGCCTGCTTGGTTTTTGTCAACTTACACCTTTTTTATAATACTGATATAAAATCACCCTTACTGTCCGACAAAATCTAAAACTGTCGCTAGTGTATCATGGTAACCACGACAAAATAGAACATAAATGTATTGTTAAAACAGAAATTGTGCAAAACACCAAAACCACATATACTCAATTTCTATCTATACTAAATAATAAAAGCAGTATTGGTTTCGTGATTTTTTATGACTCAAAAACTTTCCTTACTTGGTACTTTCAGATGAAGAATACTACCATATGTCGAATGACGACTATTATTGGACAACTGATGCATATTTCAGGAGGGACCACGAAACTCTGGCCACGCATGCGCCGTATTTATCGATGTACATTCCCATTGAGGGAACGCTAAATATGACGATTGGACGCGACAACAAAGGTGCTGCTGTTGACATAGAGGGCGTAAATTATGACTGGCTGTTGTTAGGTAGGTTTTATTTCGTAAGATATTTAAAATAACGATCATCACAAACTCACTAATTTTTTTTTTAATATGTTAATTGTTGAATCTCCAATTTTTTAATCATTTCGCAGTTAAACAGAGTATATATATATGTATATACTTCTTTACAGGAGAGTTTAAATACGAGTGTATAACCGATCCGGCGAGGTGTGTGAATGGCTTTGCGGTTTCTACCTGGGTGAAGCTACAGAACCACGAAGACGATGATCACCACTTTATCTTGTCGTCAGGAGAGCAAGGCACGCGTGGTTTTAGTTTTTACCAACGGGACGGAAATCTTGGTATTGGAGTTACTGATGGCACAAGGCGTTGGATTATTGAGCTACAGTATAATGTTAAAGAAGGCATGTGTACTAATTCGTTATTTGTTCATTGTGCAGATTGTTAATTTGCTTAAACTATTTTGAAATGCTGCCGTGAATGTAGGCACCCATTATTACCTATGGCAGTATGTATG